TGTGCGGAACGACAGAATGCTTTCTCTTGGCGGCGATGGCTTACGACCGCTACGTGGCCATCTACAACCCGCTCCTGTACTCTGTGAGCATGACACCCAGGGTCTTCGTGCCACTCATCGCTGCTTCTGTCCTCGGGGGCACTCTGCATGCCACTGTGCACACGGTGGCCACTTTCAGCCTGTCCTTCTGTGGAACGAATGTCATCCAGCACATCTTCTGTGACATCCCTGCCTTGCTGGCGATTTCCTGCTCTGACACTCACCTAAACCAGCTCCTCCTCTTTTATATAGCTGGCTCTATTGAGATGGTCACTGTCCTGGTCGTCCTCATCTCCTATGGCTTCATTCTGGCAGCTGTTCTCAGGACGCGCTCTGCAGAGGGGAAGCGAAAGGTCTTCTCTACGTGTGGCTCCCACCTAACTGCAGTGTCCATCTTCCACGGAACTGTTCTTTTCATGTATGTGAGACCAACTTCCAACTACACCTTGGAGCAGGACATGGTGGTGTCCATGTTCTACACTGTTGTGATTTCTGCATTGAACCCCGTCATCTACAGTTTGCAGAACAAAGACGTCAAAGGTGCAATACAAAAGGTGTTTGGGAAAAATCAGTTTATGAATACAGTAAGATTTTCATCCTAGATGAGTACTAAAATTTGAGATTGATATTCTATATGTCAGTGTAAAGAGTTTAATGAAAATAACTAATTAATATGAGTCTCTAGTCTGTAAATATTTAAGATAAAGGATATAAGGAATCCTCTCCTGTGATATGTATAATGCAGAAATATACTATCATCCTTTTGCTTTGGCAAACTTCATAGCAATATGTGTTTGTATTTCCACACATAGATGCTGGTACCGGCCAAACACAAGTGTACCCATAGCCCTGTGTCTATGAAATCTTTAACACACTTAGGATTACATTCCTCAGTCTGTCTAAATTGTGTCTTCTAGTTTCCCATAATTACATTCATCAATAATTATGTAGTTTTAGCTGAGTGGACTGCTCATGCCCTTGACGTTTGCATTGCTCCTGTAATTCCAAGACATTTTCTCTAGAGACACGGACACTTAATCCAATATGAATCAATTTGCTTCATTCTTGCACTGTACAGAAGTCATATTATTGTCTGTGAACTTCAGATTCCTTGGGTCATCACTTGGCTGACTGGCAAGGGTGAAGTTATTCTGCTTTTATTTTGTATGTGATCATAGCACAAGGAAAAGAAGCATTCTTAACTTTGTTATTGCCTTACTGAGGACTCTACTTATACTGGAACACCACCATCAATAACGACTGTAGCAACACAGTTCACTTGTTAAGTACAACTTGTCATCAGATTTGGCTCTTCCTACAGTGGAGTCCACATCTTCCATTAGGAGATTTCCCTCAGGCCTCATGTCTACTCCACTTTCGGCCTTGTTTTCTTTTGACCCCTACCAGGTCCTGAAGTCCTTGGGGATCCCACCCTTCCTCACTGCCTAGGACAGAGACGGACATGACAGAGAATGACCTTGCTCTGCTGATGCTGGGGCCTGCTCGCAGCACATCCCCATCTCTGCACTTCTAGGTCTTCATCAAAGTGAGTTTCACAGTGTTTCCCTGCCCCATTCTTCTTAATTATTACACTTACATTATAATTTTGTAAATTCATTTACTCACAAAAATCACTTCATTCTTGTGTTGGGCAGTTCCTTGTGATATCACAGCATTACTTCCTTCAAACATAAAAACTCAGACCATATCCATGATTGGTGTGCATATTGAGATGGACACAGAATATAAGAGCTCTTGCACATATTTACGTGTGTGTGTAATACCAAGCAATGAAGAGGTCTTTAAACAGATTAACACTATAAGTATTATGCAAGTAAATATTTAACTTGACATCATTGGATTCAATTTCAATTGTAGTGAAAAAAATAAACCATAGACTTGAAAAAATATACATTTATTGAATAAATAAACAGTACACTCTTAGTCCACAAGACAAAGGATAACAAATATATGTAAATAAAAGTTCTTAGTTCAATGAGAAAAAATATTTGTACTAATATTATTTAGACAAGAGATCATGTCTGCATCTTCAACTGTGAATAACTACTATGAAGACAACAATATGCAATGTATTAATTATTTAACTGTCCTACTAACCTGTTTTGAAACTGTCTCATTGCTATTTCCTTCGCATTAAAATTGATAAAAATAAAAAATTCTAGATAAAGAAGTCTCTCAAGCTTAATGTCTGTACTTCATTTTTAAATAACCTAAAATAGAGAATGACATTAAAAGTTGTCGAAACTCATAAACGTGGCACAAGTTTAAAAGTTGACAACTTCAAAGAGGTGGCGACAAGCGGGACACCTGCCCTCCTCTGGGGGAAGTGTAGTGCTCATGGACACTTTGCCTAACAACTTACAACCTTCTCCTAAGTCTGTGCATTCAGCCAAAGGAGAGAATGACTTAGAACTGAATGAAACAACAGAGAGGAGTTCAAAACAAAAACCAAATGAAAAATAAGGCATTGAGGATAAGACATGGATTAGTATAAGAGAAAAATTTGAAAACATCTGCAAGTTTATAGAATACTTTACTGACGTAAACACACATGAAAGAGCAAGTCCACAGTGGGTATCTCTTACACCAGAAAATTGACTTAAATGAATAATATTGGGATTATTTGAAATTGAAAGGTTCATGCAAATATTTTTAATGTGATAATACAGTTGTATGGTAAAGTTAGACTAATGCAAATATCAATAAAGTTAGTAACACCTATTATAATATTAAAAGTGAGCATGCTTCTAATTTAAGTGAAAATATTTTAATATGCTATTATTTATCAGAATATCAAATCGAATAAAATCTCTTTAGTTTTTAAAATTTCAAAAAGCGAGTGAGAACCTGACATAAACAACTTGAAAGACGCATGGCTTATTTTGGTTCACAATTCAGAGGTTTCGGTCCACGGTCTAGTGATTGTATTGCTTTAAGCCTGCAGCAAGTTAGAAATAGCAGAAAAGGAAACAAAGAGGAAATCTGCTCAGTAAGACAGCTAGGAATCAGATGCGAACAAGGAGTCAGAGAGGAAAGGTCCTGGGACCAGATTTACCCCCTTGCGGTCAACCACATGGTCCACTCCCTTAGCTAGAACTGTCGCCTTTATCCGTCACCTGCCTGTAGTGCTACCCAGCTACTACTGCAGCCTTCATAATCTGATCACTTTGCATGAGGCCCATCAGCCCCCAGCCAAACTTTTAGTTTTAAGGGACATTTCAGTTCCTTATCACGACACTTCCATAGCTGTAATTACAAATGTTATTACTTATAGCTGACCAATTTGACGTCACCTAATAGAAAGGAATCCAATGTCCTGGTAAACACAGATCCTTTCAAAGACACTCACTGCTGTCTGACTCCAGGACAAAGCAATCCCATCTGGTCTGGCATCTATGTATCTAATCATGGTATATGGTTTTTATACCAACGATAACGTGCTCAAATTTCTGGTGCCATCCCTTG